ACTGTCTAGAAATAACAAATATTTTGATTAAGGAACTGATATATTTCCTAACTCCAAGAGCTATTTTGAAATAGCAAAAATACAAGTCTCTCAACTGGTTACTATTTTGTGAAATCATTAAAATATTCCTACCAAAGGTGGTTTAAAAGTTCTACATATGATTCAAAGGATACTTACTGAGCACTAACCATGAGCCATGCCCTGTACTAGATGCTATGGGCAGGGAGAGAAACAGTATATTAATACCCTGAAACTCAATTTAAATTAAAAGACAGAAATAGATAAGTGTCCCAAAAGATAATATATTAGGTGGGTGCAAAAGTAATTGAAATTTTTGCATTGTTGATATTTGCCATTTGATATTGGAATACATTCTAAATAAATACAGTTATGTTATATATAACTTTAATGCACATTTCTTGCTTTTATGTGTTTTTGCTAATGACATTCCTTGCTGTTTATATTTATTTCAGACTACAGAAATGATGTTAGACAAAAAGCAAATTTGAGTGATTTTCTTATTGGAGTTCAAAATGGGTCATAAAGCAGTGAAGACAACTTGCAACATCAACAACGCATATGGTCCAGGAACTGCTAATGACCATTCTATGGTCGTTTGGCATTTGAAGCAAACTGGAAAGGAAAAAAGCTCAATAAGTGGGTGCTTCATGAGGTGACCACAAATCAAGAAAATCATCATTTCGAAGTGCCGTCTTCTCTTATTCAATGCAACAATAATTTATCAATCAGATTGTGATGTGCAACAAAAAGGTAACTGTCAGGAAGCATTTAACAGGAGGTTTCCTGTGTGCTGTTTTGGATTTGTCATGAATCCTCTATTCCTTATTAATTCCTCAGGAACTAAGAGGAGAGGCACGCCTTTCCGCCTCTCCCTGGGCTGAGGAATCCAGGCATCTCCTTTGTTAGTTTTTCAATACAGTGATAAGTATCCTCTTCCTTCTTATGAACCATAGGGTAAAAGTGATTGTTTACAACTCTCTCTAATATGGATCACCTTATGTTTTGTAGGTCTGGAATTTTAATCTTTATTTTTGCTGAGAATAACTACTTGTAAGACAGTATATATGCCCACACCATGTTGATTAAAACACCTTTGCTCCATCAGAGCTTGGGGCCCTGTGTCTTTCTTTCTTTCTTTCTCTCTCTCTCTCTCTCTATTTCTGGCTGATTCCCTGGAGCGGGAAGGCCAGCTGCGTAACCCAGGGAATATTAGCCTTTCCTTCTTTCACTTTTTCATCATTGACTCCGGACCACCAAGTTCCGGTCCATTAAAGGACCAACAGGTAATGACTGGCTCAGTAGCTGGACTGAGAAACTTCAAAGCACTTCCCAAAGCCAAACTTGAGCCAAGAAGAGGTCATAGTCACTGTTCGGCGGTCTGCTGCTGGGTTGATCCACTACAGCTTTCTGAATCCTGGCAAAATCATTACATTTGAGAAGTATGTTCAGCAAATTGATGAGATGCACCGAAAACTGCAAAGCCTGCAGTCGACATTGGTCAACAGAAAGGGCACAATTCTTCTCAATGACAATGCCCAACCGCATGTCACACTACCGATTCTTTAAAAGTTGAACAAATTGGGCTATGAAGTTTTGCCTCATCCACCATATGCACCTGACCTCTCGCCAAATGTCATGACTTTTTGCAGGCAAGATGCTTCCATGACCAGCAGGATGCAGAAAGTGCTTTCTAAAAGTCCGTGGAATCCTGAAGCACAAATTTTTATGCTACAGGATAAACAAACTTATTTCTTGTTGGCAAAAATGTGTTAACTGTAATGGTTCCTATTCTGACTACAGAGAAGTGGTTGAGCTTAGTTATAATGACTAAAAATTCATGGTGAAGTGAAACTCACTCAATCGTGTCTGACTCTGCAACCCCATGGACTGTAGCCTGCCAGGCTCCTCTGTCTATGGAAGTCTCCAGGCCAGAATACTGGAGTGGGTAGATATTCCTTTCTCCAGGGGATCGTAACAACCCAGGGATTGAACCCAGGTCTCCCACATAGCAGGTAGATTCTTTACCATCCGAGCCACCAGGGAAGCCCAAAATTCATGGTGTGAAACCATAATTACATTTGCACCAACCTAACATGTTCTAACAGAGGTCCTATATCAAATGCTGAGGAAGAAAGCCCAGGGGAAGAAGCAAGTCCAAGAGAACCAGGCTAAGAGGAGAAGACTGAAAGGAAGAAACTGTTAGGAGAATGAACTGTGTTTAAACAATGGTTCAACAACTGCCTGAGATCACAGAGGAGGCTGAAGAGAACTGATAGGAGCACAAAAAGGATCAAGCCTTAGAAAAGAGTGAGCCTTAGAAAGAAAGTGTTTGACTTTTTAACACAAGGGAGAGAAGAAAGAATACAGGTATCACTAACTTGAAGTTCTTCATATTCACAATGAATACTTGTGTGTTGCACTTGGGCTTTTAAAAAAATTTTATTTCAATTAATTTTTATTGGCGAATCGTTGCTTTGCAATGGTGTTTTAGTTCCTACTGTATTGCAGGGTGAGTCAGTTACATGTGTACATAGGCACCTTTTCCCCTACACAGTCACAGCATCCAGACTGTGCACACGCTTTTTCCGGAACCTACAGTATTGTTCCCTTTCCTCTTTGTCTGGTTCACACCCACTTATCTTTGATCTCTGCTTAGTCTTCCAGTCTTCCCTCTTAGTGCAGCAGACCTCGCTTTCACAATACTCCTCAGTCTTGGTTAACACTTCGTGTTCTGCGCTAGATTATAAATTTCATAACAGCAGGGGGCATCTCTGTTCTAAATTTCCAGGTCACAACCCAGGGCCTGGTACAGTGCAGGACACATAGCAGATCCCAGGAACTACTGCTTAAACGTTGAACCAATACACAGAAAAAAAAGGTAAAACTTACAGCCTCTATTTTCTATGAGTGACAACTACACACACAGTCACACAAAAAAGTAAAAGAAATACTTCCCTAAATTTCTAAAAATAAAAATTGTCTCAATCTTTGTTCAGATTGTTTGGTAATATCTTATGGAAAAACCTGTATGACTTTTAATTAGTAATGTTATTTAGCACAAGAGAAGAGCTGCAAGTAATAGGCACTTCACTGTAACTTCATAATGAATTAGTTCACAAATGGCACTCACATTCCTTACAGCCTTCATAGGGCACTTCTTCAGGTCTTGTCCAACAGTCATTTACTTTCTCCTGCTAGCAGAAGGATCCTAGGGCAGTGCCTCAATCAACTGCTGCTTGATTGAAATTAAAAACCAAACTCTGTCAACAGGGAAAAAAAAAAGACATCTTACTTGGCAATCGGGGGAGAAGTCTTATTAACAGGGTAGAATATACTGTTCAATAGAAACTCTAAAAGAATTTAACCTTAAATCAATGACCTCACTGGAAGAGTGTCAGCCATTCAAATCACTGCGGGAGATATGTAGCTGGGAACATGTGTTATGTTTCAAACATAGCAAACTAGTCCCTGGTCTCCACCAATATATCAAATGAATAATAAAGTATGACTGTCCTATAACAACGGCTCATTTATTTAACAGCATTAGGATGTGAAGGGTTCACATGAGAGACTTTTCTGGAAAAGTGGCTTCCTACTGCAGAAACAGGTCAGACATGCCAGCAGCCTGGACCAGCTGAGAGATGCTCATGGGAAAGCTGACCTCCACTTCACAGAGGCCAGCAGAAGACACTCAGGCAGAATGGGGGCAGCACCCGCTGCCAGTGACCTGCACCTGGTAAGCGGGTCTGCAGCACACACAGAAGGCAAGAGGGTGTTAGAAACACTTTATTTCCCTGAGAAACTTCCCAAACAGCATCTGTCTTGGGACAAGCTATCCCAGCCCCTGCTGGAAGATTCCATACCCTCTGCTGCTGGAAAACATTCTGCACATCTAATTCCATCTGTAATGAGTTTACCTGTGTATCCCTCAAACTCAGATGTTAAAGTCTTGCAGTACTTCAGAACATGACCTTATGTGGATATGGGGTCAACGCAGAGGTGAGGTCATAGGAGAATCTGGCAGGCTCCTCCTCCAAAATGACTGGTGTCCTTATCAAAAACAGCAAATCCGGACACCGACAAGCACACAGGAGGAAAGTTATATAAAGATGAAGTCACAGATCAGGGTGATTTTCCAACAAGCCAAGCAACTCCAAAGACGGCCAGCAAACCACCAGAAGAGAGGCGAGAGGCATGGAACAGTTTCTTCTTCAAGCCCAAAGATTAGCCTGATCTCAAAGTTTAGCCTTCAGAACCGGGAGATAATAAACTTCTGTGGTTCAAGTCACTCAGTTTGTTATATTTTGTTTGGGCCTACTTAGCAAACTGACAGGGCTACTGGTGTCTTTCCATTTATCCTATCTCTGATTGACTGTGACAGCCACACGCCTCTTCAAGTAACCAAACTTCTTGAAAATGGTAAGTGTTGCACTAGTTCAACAAACACAAAGGGATGACCTGAATGTGGCGGGCACTGAAGGCAGGGCAGGTGACTGGCGTGGCCTCTGCCCTCATGCGGGTGACAGTGTTATCAGGATAACTAACAAGAAGCGGCTTCCCTGCTGGCTCAGATGGTAAAGAATCTGCCCACGATACAGGAGACCCAGGTTCAACCCTTGGGTTGGGAAAACACCCTGGAGAAGGGAATGGCAACCTATTCCAGCATTCTTGCCTGGAGAATTCCATGGACAGAGGAGCCTAGTAGGCTTGGGAATACAGTACAGGGATACTGTATGAACAGTGATTTAGAGAGAAATACTGTCCAAATTCAGAATTAAAGAATTTATTGTCCTGTTTAAGACACACTTTTTACTAACTGCAAATGTTACTAACTGAAAATTGTGTTTATAGTTACTAACTAACATGTTTGTTACTAACTGTGAATCATATTACCAAGCAACAGGGCCAAGAGGTGTATAGCATTACCATGGTGGAAAGCCCACCAAAACATTCTGCAGCACACAGTAAATTTCACCTACCTCTTATGCATATCCAACAGTCATCTTTTTTGTTGTGTTTTTTAAGTTCTTCTTCAGTTACTTCAATTAACCTGCCTTTTAATCCCGTTAGGTCCTTTCCACTTTTGGTCAGTCGAATCCAATCCATGAGACTTCTGCCTTGTTTCAGAGGGACCTCAAAAAGGAAAAGCGAAGAATTCAATGTGGCTTCTTCAAGTCAGCTGAATTTCCTTCCCCCTCCTGCTGTTTGTCTTCAGGACACTTCATTACTCTGATTCCCACTCAAAAGGATAAGAAAACAAATTTAAAAATTCTAAAAATCTTCTTCCATCTTTAGAAGGGTGTATTAGAATTACAAATGGAACATTATATAAAACACCTGGGCCATGAGATGGGGTTTAGAAATTCTGGACACAAATGTTGATCTAATGAAATCATAGTACAAGGGTAGTACTGAACCCAGAGTTAGAAGACAAGTTTTGGTCCTGGCTCTATCACTAATATGTTGTAGCTGCTTACTAACCTGGACCAACATTTTTTTGCCTTAAAAAAAATCAAATGAAATTTGATAGAAGAAAATAGAAACAATTGGCTAAAGTTGACTTTCCGGACTTTCAACATACACAGAATATTAGAACTACATGAAATAGAAAGACGTTTTCTAAGAATCCATCCACCAAGAAACAATGGTTATCAAGTAATAGAAAACAATAAAACCGCTTCACTCCAGGGAAGGAGCTGGCAAACGGGTCTGTGCCTGTTTCTGAGCAGCCCTTGAGCCAAGAATAATTTCTACACGTGGTGGTGGTGGTGGTGGTGAAGAGACTGAGTCCTTATGACATCCTCAAAGCTTAAAATATTTATTATCTGGCCGTGTCCACAAAACTCTGCCTGCACCTGTTCAGAGGGTCTAATAACAAGATGTTTGGGATTTTGCAGGGCTTTGTGTTTAATACAAAATACATTTTCAAGGCTTTTAGAAAAGGAGTATTATTATGTCATTAGTATTTTGACCAGTTAAGACACCCTAGTGGAAATTTTTCCAGACATCTAACCTGTATAACTAGTATGTAATATAGTACCAGATAATTGTTTAATGTAAAAGCAGTCACATTATTCAAGGAAGCTTCTTGCTATAGACTGAATGTTTGTATCCCCCCACCAAATTAGGTTGAAATGCTAATCCTCGATGTGCTGGTATTAGGAAGTGGGGCCTCTGGTGGGTGACGAGGTTGTTGGGATTAAGGCCCTTACAAAAGAGGCCATACAGAGAGCTCCCTCACCTCTTCCAAGTAAGGACACTGAAAAGATGGCTACAAACCAGGAATCAGGCTTCCACCAGACACAAAACTGGCCAGTTTTGCACTGATCTTGGATTTCCCAGTCATGATGAGGCAGAAGGTAGATGGGCCCTCTAGGGTAAAGTCATTGGAGATTCATTACCGGTTGACCAAAACTCCAAGACTAGAACAGCTGGACAACTGAGAGAGGCAATCTCCCCGACTACATCTGTGCAGAAAGGCTCCTTGGAAGTCAAAACGGGACAGATGCCAACTGATGCTCTTTACCCATAGGCTCACTCTCCATCTTGGCTAAGAGATGTGTGCACACACATCGGAGGATTCTGAGATATACCAAATACAGACTCTGAACCAGGCAAATCAAAATGACTGGCCACTTCAGGCTCTACTACAAAGCCATAGTCATCAAGACAGTATGGTACTGGCACAAAGACAGAAATATAGATCAATGGAACAGAATAGAAAGCCCAGAGATAAATCCACGAACCTATGGTCACCTTATCTTCGACAAAGGAGGCAAGGATATACAATGGAAAAAAGACAACCTCTTTAACAAGTGGTGCTGGGAAAACTGGTCAACCACCTGTAAAAGAATGAAACTAGAACACTTTCTAACACCATACACAAAAATAAACTCAAAATGGATTAAAGATCTAAATGTAAGACCAGAAACTATAAAACTCCTAGAGGAGAACATAGGCAAAACACTCTCCGACATAAATCACAGCAGGATCCTCTATGACCCACATCCCAGAATTTTAGAAATAAAAGCAAAAATAAACAAATGGGACCTAATGAAACTTAAAAGCTTTTGCACAACAAAGGAAACTATAAGCAAGGTGAAAAGACAGCCCTCAGATTGGGAGAAAATAATAGCAAACGAAGCAACAGACAAAGGATTAATCTCAAAAATATACAAGCAACTCCTCCAGCTCAACTCCAGAAAAATAAATGACCCAATCAAAAAATGGGCCAAAGAACTAAACAGACATTTCTCCAAGGAAGACATACAGATGGCTAACAAACACATGAAAAGATGCTCAACATCACTCATTATCAGAGAAATGCAAATCAAAACCACAATGAGGTACCATTACACGCCAGTCAGGATGGCTGCTATCCAAAAGTCTACAAGCAATAAATGCTGGAGAGGGTGTGGAGAAAAGGGAACCCTCTTACACTGTTGGTGGGAATGCAAATTAGTACAGCCACTATGGAAAACAGTGTGGAGATTTCTTAAAAAGCTGGAATTAGAACTGCCGTATGACCCAGCAATCCCACTCCTGGGCATACACACCAAGGAAACCAGATCTGAAAGAGACACGTGCACCCCAATGTTCATCACAACACTGTTTATAACAGCCAGGACATGGAAGCAACCTAGATGCCCATCAGCAGATGAATGGATAAGGAAGCTGTGGTAAATATACACCATGGAATATTACCCAGCCATTAAAAAGAATTCGTTTGAATCAGTTGTAATGAGATGGATGAAACTGGAGCCCATTATACAGAGTGAAGTAAGCCAGAAAGATAAAGACCCATACAGGATACTAACGCATATATATGGAATTTTAAAAAGATGGTAATGATAACCCTATATGCAGGACAGAAAAAGAGACAGATGTATAGAACAGACTTCTGTACTCTCTGGGAGAAGGCGAGGGTGGGATGATCTGAGAGAATAGCATTGAAACATGTATATTATCAAGTGTGAAACAGATCGCCAGCCCAGGCTGGATGCATGAGACATGTGCTCAGGGCTGGTGCACTGGGAAGACTCAGAGGGAATGGGATGGGGAGGGAGGTGGGAGCGGGGATCAGGGTGGGGAACACATGTAAATCCACGGCTGATTCATGTCAATGTATGGCAAAAAGCACTACAATGTTGTAAAGTAATTAGCCTCCAACTAATAAAAATAAATGAAAAAAAAAAAAAAAGACTGGCCAAAGGAAACCCAGAAGATATGCCCCATGTAAGTAATTCAAACTGCCAGGAGGGTACGACTAAGCAACTCTCTGTCTGCCTGTGTGTCTATCCACATGTACTGTACTCTTTTGCCTCCTAATAAATATTTTACTTGTTTCACCACTTTCTGTCTTTGTGGGAATTCTTTTTCTGCAAAGCCGAAGGGCCAGGGCCTTGTCACTGACTGCTAGCCTGTTGGCTAGGATTCGGTGTTCTCACTGCTACAACTCAAACTCTGGCCAGGAACCCAAGTCCTGCTTCAAGCTGCTGCAGGTCGAGGTGACCTGAGATCAATGAGAAGTGTGAGAAGTAAGTTTCTGTTGTCTATGAGGCACCTATGGTATTGTTAGAGAAGCCCAAAGGACTAAAATGCTTACATATCTCAATTCCCTAAATCATATCTATTTTAGACGTTCAACTCTCCCCAAATAGTCAGGTTAATAGTTCTGTGGTGCCTTGCCAATTTCACATTTCTTCTTACTAATCCTCATCATCCTATTCTTAGCATCACTAACTACAACTCTCTAGGTCTCTTGGTCTTCATAAATGAAGTGTGAGAACGTATGATCTTTCCTATCCCAAAGATAGGAAAGATTCTTTCACCATTCCATACCTGCAGGGTAGTTAAAAGTTATCTTTTGGAAATGCAGATCTAATTTAGGGCCCTGCCTCCTTCAGTGGCTCCTCATATTTCTTATAATGCTTCTAAATTCCCTAGAGAGGTTGACCACGCCCTTCATAATCTGGTCGGAGTTGACTTCACTAGCTCCGTGTCTGCACTTTAGTCCCTTCCTATTCTATGCTTTGCAAATGTGCATGTTCAGTCAGTCTCTTCCCACTCTTTGCAACCCCATAGACTGTAGCCCACCAAGCTTCTCCATCCATGGGATTTCCCAGGCAAGAATACTGCAGCGGGTTGCCATTACCTCCATCAGGGGATTTTCCCGACCCAGGGATCCAACCCGCGTCTCCTGGGTCTTCTGCGTCGGCAGGCTGACTCCTTGCCACTAAGCTACCTGGGTAGCCATTCTATACTTCGTTATGCTGTGCTTAGTCATTCAGTCATGTCCGACTCTTTGTGACCCCATGGACGATAGCCTGCCAGGCTCTTCTGTCCATGGGGATTCTCTAGGCACAAATAGTAGAGTTCCATATTTTAGGAAAATGGAAAATGATTCGCCCCTCCCCGCCACAGACATTACTTCCTCCAGAAGCTTTCTCTGGCATCAACTTCTTCGTGGTCATAACAGACTGTTATAGTCCTTAGGCATTTATAACTGTGAAGCCCACTGGATTAATACACTCTTTGAAAACAGAGCTGTTGGGGACCAGCACAGGCCATGCAAGACAAATCCTTGGACCACTCTCTTGGTCTCCTTGAAAGCAGGAAACAAATCTCCCCTGTGGAAGGTGCCCTTCCTGTACTGGAAGGTAGAAAGACACCCTTCTCTCAGCGATAGGAAATTCAGGGCCCAGAAGACTATAAGCAAGCTGTGTTACTTCTTTACTCATCTACTACCCAAGCCCAAACTTTGTTTAAATTCCTTACTAATTAAGTACCCAGACCTAAGTTTCTCTGTGCCATCAATTCCTCTCAAATTTGGTATCGTGCAGGGCCCTGTTGGGCCCCTGGGCACAGAGCTTTTCTGGGTCCCTCATTTCTTTGATTACTGGAAACAGCCTTTGTTAAGCCTCTGTGACCTTCCCTGAGTTCCAATGGGCAGCTTCAAGCAGCTGCTAATTAGGGAAGGGAGGGGTGGTGAGACCAGGGAGAAGCAGTCAAGAGCAGTCTTGGGGCAAGTTCCTGTTTCCCCATCAAGTCTGCATGCTCAGGTCCTTCAGTTGCATCGACTCTTTGCAAGCCCATGGACTGCAGTCTGCCGGGTTCCTCTGTCCACGGGATTTCCCAGGCAAGAAGACTGGAGTGGGCTGCCGCTTCCTTCTCCAGGAGATCTACCCGACCCAGGGATCAAACCTGCATCTCCTGTGTCTCCTGCATTACAGGAGGATTCTTCACCCACTGAGCCACCTAGGAAGCCCAACAGTATCTTTGAGCTGTTTTTGCAGATAGTGAAACCCCTTCTAGGTGGGGGAAGTTATGGTATGCTGCCCACAAGCACACAGTTCCCCAGAGCAGCTGGACCTGAAGGCTGTCGATGTTGACTCCTATTTGTTGTTGTTCAGTCACTCAGTTGTCTGTCTGACTCTTTGCGACCCCGTGGACAACAGCACACCAGGCTTCCTTGTCCTTCACTCTCTCCTGGAGTTTGCTCAAACTCATGTCCATTGAGTTGATGATGCCATCCAACCACCTCGTCCTCGGTTGCCACCTTCTCCTCCTGCCCTCAATCTCTGTCAGCATCAGGGTCTTTTCCAGTGACTCCTATTTACCTCATCACCAACCCATCGGAAGAACTGGCCACGAGCTGATCACACCTTCTTTACCTCAGGACTTGCCACTCTCTTGCCCAAGTCGGGACGTGCGGTTTGAGGACAGGAGCCTGCCCTGTCTCCCTCTGCCTGGCAAAGCAGTGAAGCCGTCCTTTCCCACTTCACCAATCTCTTTCTCCAAGGTCTGATTCAGCACCAGGGTACACAGAGCTGAGCTTTCAGCATCAAATTTATTGTCTGAAAGCTTAAAAGCATGAATAAAATTTAAATCTTTTCTACTGCTAATCTGTCTTGTGTCAACTTTATCAGTCCAGCCACAAGAATTCAAGAGGGATGGATAAAAGTGGAAATTTCTCCCTCCCCAACAAAGACCACATCTCGAGCATATGATAGGTTCTCAATAAATACTTACTAGTTGCTTATTAGAAATAACATTAGCCACCACACTGAGTGCATACTCTGCACCAGGCACTGTGCTACGGGCTTTTTCACACAGCAATCCCTCAACAATCAATGAGGTCTGCATAAAAGTCTACAGGCCAGTAACACCTAGTAAGTGCTTACGACAACTCAGGACTATGCTGAGAGAAACATTAGCTCATTTAATCCTATGAACAATCCTATAAAATGGATACGATTCATATTATTCCCATTTACAACTGAGGAAAGAGACTCAAAGAGGCTAAAAGGTAGAGATGGAAAAAGAATGAATTTTTCTCACTCAAAAGCCCATGTTTCTAACAATTGTGATACACAAACCTCCCCAACTAAGTTCTGTCTTCTCACCCACAACCTATTTCATACACTCCTGACACAGGTTCTCACATCTTCCAGATTAGCCAGTTTTGATTGAGCAGGGCTCTAAGGGACCCTCCCGGGTGTGTGTCCCTGCTTCTTGTTTCTAGAAAAAGCTTTCGCCTTGGAGGCCTTCCCCTAATTCCAAAGAGCAGACTCAAACAGCTAAGACTACAGATGTGAGAAAATGCAGAAATCCAGGAACATTGGTCAAGCAAGAAAATAACATCGTCACAGAACTCCTAGTCCCTCCTGAGTAGATACAGTTAACAACCTAATGTCCTTGAGTTGTTTTACAGAAACCAGAACCTCAAGGGACAGAAACTGCTAGTCACAAGCATACAGACCCTAGACTGGCTGGAACAAGACAGAGGACTGAGATTTCTAAAATATCACCAGCAACCAAACAGAAGAGATCCACAAGCTAACCATGCACCTTGAGACTCTCATCTCAAATGCTGAGTTTAAAAATCTTTGCCTGAAAGCCATCATGGAGTTTGGGTCTTTTGGTCATTAGCTGCCTGTTCTCCCTGCTTCTTGCTGTTGTTCGGTCACCAAGTTGTGTCTAACTCTTTGAGACCCCATGGACTGCAGCACGCCAGGTCTCCCTGTCGCTCACCATCTCCCAGAGTTTGCCCAAGTTCACATCCATTGCAACAGTGATGCCATCCAACCACGTCATCCTCTGTCACTCTCTTCTCCTTTGCCTGCTTGATGTCCTGCAAATAAAAGCTGTACTTTCCTCCATCACAACCCAGTGTCAGTGGACTGGCTTTGCTGCATGTCAGGCAAGTGAACCCAAGTTCAGTTCAGCAACAATTTCACAAAGGGGGGAAAAAAAATCAGTCTGAGTGTGAATTGCACACTAATTTTATTTTATTCACTTTCTGGGCCCAAACACTCACCTGTGACATCACTACCATTTCCTTTAAATGATACTGAGAACATGGCTGATAGCTTTAAAGGAGAAGGGCAGCAACCCTCATATTCTAATTCAGAGGTTCTTTCTTTGCAAAGTTTCTACTATTTAGCCAAGCATTTAAGGAGAGAAACAGGTCAAACCCCAAGGAGAGGACAAGTGATTGGATGGTTGGCCAATATATGGAGCAATAAAAGAAAAGTCACCATCAGAGTCACACCATATGAAGCCTCTTTCAAGGCAGCATTTCTTAACCTGTTTCCTTTGCTGTGAAATGGCGATAACAAAAGCATCCACTTCACAGGGTCACTGGAAAGACTACACAAGTTAATACATGTAAAGCACTCAGGCTGTCAGTAAGCATTTAATCAATCTTAGTTATATTATTATAGTTGGGATTACAGACTTCTGAAAAAGCTAATGGAAGCTACAGATCTCTGAACTCATAATTCTGACCTAGAGTCAAACTCCAGGTCCATGTGGAGAAAATAAAGTTGATGAAGTTCCCAAATGATGTTAATGCTAAAGACTCAAGAGTCCAGAAATGAAGAAAGGAATGGCCCGATCACGTGGAAGTCTTGAAAACAAAACATGAAGATGTGGTTATTGAATGAGGAACTAACAAACAACAGGAGCAAGCAACATTCATACTGCAATGAACAAGGGAGACAATTTCATTAAATTCTGCAAATATAAAACACATTTGCATCCCACCTGTTGGTAACAGTATGTTCAACAAAATCTTAAAGAGATTAAAGAGATTATTAGCTTCAAAATTAGCAAGAGATATCAGTAGAAAAGACAGTGATAAAACAATCAAGAATCAGAGCAAGAGAGAAAGGCAGTGTGCCTTGGAGAAGTGTCCCTAAACCTAACTGGAGGTTTGTATAGAAATTGGTTCTCTCTTCTCCAATCTTCCCTAGGTCCTGGAGTCCCCGCCCTTGGAAGGATAAATACTGGTCACTGTTGCTATTGCCCAGCCTTTCCCCTCTTCTAGGAAACCTAGATCGCTCACAACCCCTTCGGAAAGTGAACAAAAGAACGGAGAGCAGGTTATGTTGAAGGAAGGAAGCCGATACAGAGTACCTACAATATGGGAAGCACAGAGCCTGGCATTACCTTATATCTGAATTTGATGAATGGGAAAAAGAGTTGGAAGAAGGGAACTGACAGAACGGGATGAAGGGATGCATGAGAAAAGGGGCCAGCTGGTAAGAGATGAAGGTTAAGAGAGTTCCAGGACTGGAGAACGCGTGGGATCTGAAAGAGATCGCCAGCAAGGGTAGGAGGGAATGAAAGCCGGAGGTGTGGATAGGAGGTGGGAAAGCGTAAGGAGAGAACGGACTGTGCCGGAGCCTGAGATGCCGGCGAGAAGAGAGGACTGCAGCGCGCTTACCTTGCTACGCCCCCCGGAGGCGACGCGCTGCTGCGAGCTGGGGCCCGGGAAAGACTGGGAAGGGACGTTCAGCATCCTGGACCCCTGGCCCGGGCCTTGTCCGGGGTCCGCCGCCCGACTCCACAGCTCAGCTCAACGCCTGTGGAGTAACACCTCCGGCTCCGGCTCCGAGGCCGGGCAGAGGCCAAGCCCCCTACCCACTTCCGGGGTCGCCCGGGGTGAGGCGCGCCATGACGCAGCACGTCGAGGCCGCGGGGCGGAGCCAACGAGGCGAACGGAGAGCGGGCTGGGGCGGAACCAGTGCAAACTACGCATGCCCCATTCGTCCCGCATCCAGAATTTCAGCACTGCAAGGAGGTGACAGCTATTCCGTGGAAAGATTAAAGAGTGAAACTGTTGCTAAGCCTTGGTGCTGACCGAATCTGAGAATAAATTTTTAGAGATGCCTGTGAACCCAGAACACAGCTGTCTGTCCATTGTTAAAGCACTATCACCACACTGCTTGAAATATGGAATAAAATAACACTATTAAGGCTTTTTGATTTGCCAGAAACTCTCTTTAAAGGCACCAATCTGTACGGAAAAGAGAACTTTTAAGAGCTGAGATGTCAAATGCAAACAGGCACTCCTGTGAGGCGCAGAGAACACTTAACCTTTAAGAACTCTCGCTAATGACTAGTGAACGAGTTGAAGAGGTTAGTAAATTCTCACTCTGCTCCATTCACCCACTCACAAGGTCTTCCTCCTCATTTAACTTCCTCTCTTTCTTGAAAGATACGGCGAAATGTGACTAATGCAGCTCACCCCCGAATGTTGTGTTGCACAGTTAGCCAAGTTTAACACTCAGATAGATGCCATCCCTGGGGTTAATAAATGAGCAATATCTCAATGCCTCATTTTCCATTTACCTAATGGGTTTAGGTCTTAGTAAGGATTAAGTGAGATGTCTGGCTAATGGTAGGCACTCAATAAATGTGACTGTGGCTCTTAATGCTATTCCAACATATTAATAACAGCAGCATAAATACTGTGCAGGCAAACACCACTCTCTAATGCTCAAGGTCCATGTTAGATGTATGATCTGGTGGGGTTTTGCATGTCTCTTGGGGAACACGTATATCCTGAGAGGAGAATCCAGTGAAAGGAAAGTTTTCAAGAGAAGAAATATAGTTCCAAGTAACTCTCTCTATCCTCTTTCTGTAACTAATTTTTCCTGACTATGAAACATGGTTTGAACTTGTTCTATTTCAATTGCTTTGTTCTTAAAGTGCCTGTAAATCAATGTTTGTAGTCTCTTTCCAATTAGAAGAGGAAGTGTGTGAATGCATGTAGCCATTCAAGTAAGGGGCATTTCTTAGCTAAGCAATGGAAATGCTTGTATTTCAGCTACTTGTAATTGAAAAGATTGTATTTGAGCTAAAAGACTTTCATGATCATAATTACTATGTTACCTCTACCATGCAAAGTGCTCCTGTTTTCTCTTTCATTAAAAAAGGATGTTATCTATAAATCTTTTTTTTAAAGCTAATCACTAAGAATTTCGTATTTCATTTCCCAGGAGAAAATTTTTTAAATGAGAATATAGGACCTGGGAACCAGAGCAATGGAAGGTGATATTATTGGAGAATGTTTCTTATCTGCCAAGTTTCTTAGCTCCCTTGTGGACTGAAATGAAAAAATGATTATAAAATTCTGGCATTTTGTCTCCCCCTTTCTAGACTCCATTTAAGTTAGAAGTTTTGTTTGAACTATGGGGATCCCTCAGTGTGGTGCCATAAGTACTAAACACCCATGCTATTTTACTGCTGAATTTAAGGGCAGCAGAAGAGTATTAAAGTGAGAATAACTTGACTCACCATTCATTAAAATTGCTAAAATTTAATAGTCCTAACATTGATTCCCAATCTTAATTATAGACAATGATTTACAATCTTTTTCACCAACTGCTAGCTAATACATAATAGTAACATGTGATTGATAACATAAGGTGATTTTCCTCATTACCTAATAATACTCATCTGTAACTACAACATCTAATGGGGATCAGTAGGAAATACCAGATGTTACAAATTCAGTCTTGAAAATTAAATATTGTTATTCTTTGAAAAGTCATACATAAATGTTTTCAAAATTATAAACAAAGATAAATTTGTAATTTGATGAAGCAATCGAAATTATCTTTTGTAAGCTCCAAATGTTTACAATACAATCAAGACACTTGTAAACAGAACCTATTTTTAAATTCCAACACTGAATTATAGTGTAGGGATTAAAAAAGGCCAAACTACCATAGTAATTACTAAATATTTCATTTTATTAATAATTTATATACAAATAATTTAAAAATGATTATGATACATTTGTACACTAATCTAATTTGTACCTACAAGCTTTGAATGTCATCAAAAGTAATCAGGTTAATTTTCACAGATCAGCTCCTCAGTTTCGTCTTCACTATCAGAATCTTCATAAAATGAAATTGTGGCTTGAATTGGAAAATTTTTCAGAAGAGCTTCTGCTTCTTGATATAAATAATCATAACACTTTGATTTTGGCCAAAATAGTCTGAAAGAAGCAGACAACATAATATGCTTTATTTTTTTTTCCACATTCAGAATCTCTGTTCTCATGAAATGCTCAAATTTCAAGAGCTCCATGTATTTATCAACTGATTTATGCATTTAAATAGAGTTTAAAATGCTGCTATTACAGTTTTCATGGAGTCTATTTGATAAAGTATCAATAATTGACTCATTGTTTTAAATCTTTATCCAAGTTATAAGTTGGATCAAATTCACATTAAACCCTCCATGAGCTTAAGATCAATATTTAGATAGCTTACTTCAGGCATTATGGATATACTTATTCTTACAAAATACAGAAGAAAGTTTATCTTCCAGTTTCCAAATTCCTTTGGGGAAAAAATGAATCCTACCATAACATTAAATATTGGGATGATAACAACTTTATAAAGATGACATATTATGCACCTTACACAAAGGCAGAAATTACCTAGCATCTTGTTTGACACTCAGACTTAGTTCTTAGAAACAGATGGAATCAAAGAAAGTTTAGAAACACACAAAAAGCAACTTTTTCAAAAGGCTATCTCTGACCCCAACCTTGATCCCATCTCTCTCCCTTTTCCCCACCCAACTAAATTTGGGAACACTATATTGAGATATTGAAAATAATACTGATTTTGTACAAATAATTTGCATGTAAATGTGATTACCTTAAAATTTCAAATTTACAACAAATATTAATCTTACCATCTGATCTTCTATTATTTTTCATTCAAGGGAAATAAAAGGACAAGGTTGCACCACCAATTAGAGTGCATGGTATTTTAGTGTACAATAAATAGCCTCATGTGCCCAAATCAGATTGATTCTAACAAAGAGAAAGTTTCATTATGTTCAGTATGTTCCATTTTAAAAAGCAAAAACATACGCAATGTAGTTGATAAATGTTTCTAGCCAGTTAAGTTTATAAATTGGGTGCCTAAATAAGCAACATCAGTAATCCAGTCATTCTATAAATATTTTAGTAATCTCTTATGCCAAACATAACTCATAATTCAAAGATAGATAAATCATGATCCCTATCTTCAAGAAGTTGATAATTGAGTAAAAAGAATCAGAAACACATAATACTATACAAGACAGAATTTAAAGAGAAATACAAAGAAACTGCTACAGTAGTTCAGAAAGGAAAGTGCTCCTAAAAAATGCAATTGATTTTCTAATGTGTAAAACTGTCAAAGCCAAAGAATGTTGTTTAATTATTATCACACTCTGTCTCCCCAGAATCTCTCACTGGCCATTTTCTTACAAGAACTTTACTCTTTGCTGACTTCTTCTCTGTTCTGAGTGATTGTCCTCAGTCATGTTTGTGCACCTCTCTTTTTCTGTAGACAGGTTAGATGCTGGCCTTCCCCCAACATTTTATCAGAAATGATCATCTCTCCTCTTTCACTCCTTCAGATGACCTGACCCACTGCCATGATTCCCCTAACTGCTTATTTACCAAAGCCTTCCAAGTCTGTATTTCCACTTAAGAACTGGACTCTGGACCACTGACCTGTATATGCAGCTCTTTACTGGACAGATCTATTTGGAGGCCCCATATGCACATGAAATATGACAAATGGGAAATCTGACACGCTAATCTTGTTCCCAAGTTATCTTTTAAATCTTAATTTCCATTTCATTAGTATAGCATTCACCTGGTCATCAGGCACCAACCTGGGAACCATTCTGTCTTTGTACTTCTATTTACCTACTATATCCAATACATCATAACCCTAAGCCTAATCTACTCTGACAACTAAGCATTCTCCAGATTCACCCAGTTCCATCAATGCCTTAATTGCAATAACTTCCAGGTTCACTTTTGATGTTCTAACTAAGGCTATATACTATTTTCTTACTGATTTTTCTGAAGCATAAATCTGATCACATTAATATTTTAATTAAAATCTTCTGAGTAACCCCCAATACCACCTACAGAATAAAGCCCATAAGTTCCCATTGCCATACACAGGATCAGGACAAAAGTCTTGTACCAAGGTGTACAAGATCTGGCTCTGGCTTCCCTGCTGTGACCACAGCTCCACACACTCAAATGCCAGTTCCTTGATGCTCCCAGAAGGAACTGTGCTATTCTTCTTCCTCTCAATGTCTTCTGCCCCACCCCTCAGGTTCTCGACTGGGTTAACCTCAAGACTCAGCCAGGTAATCACATCTACGATACACACATCTCTAACCCTTTCCCACCTCCCCGCCTCTGATAGAGTTAGTCATAAAATTGACCAAAGTAAACCATTATAACACTTCCAAAGGGCTGTGATTATTTTTTCCTGTGTTCTTCACTAGTGCTAGCAAAGGGTAGGAAATTAATTAACACTAGTTGACACTAGTTGACTTCCCCAGGTGGCTCAGATGGTCAAGAATCTGCCTGCAAAGCAGGACACCTGGTTGGATTCCTGGGTCAGGCAGATCCCCTGGAAAAGGGAATGGCTACCCACTCCAGTATTCTTGCCTGGAGAATTCCACAGACAGAGGAGTCTGGCAGGCTACAGTCTGAGATTGCAAACAGTCGGACATAACTGAGTGACGAACACTTATTAACTACTACGTGCTATTATAAAGACATGCACATTCTA